TGCTTCCTTCATTTTGGGTGGCAGGTATTTTGTCCCACTAAGAGAAAAGTAACCAAGACAGAAATTAGTACCAGGGGAGTGGAGTTGTTGCTGTGACTATACCTGGCCATGAGCCTCAAGAGACTTTGGTTATGGCTTGTGGGAAGAGTTTGGAAAGGTTCAGAGATGCTACCTAAAAGAGTAGAGCTGGAATACTTTAGGCTTTTCTGTATGGGAAATTCTGGCCAGAGCCAGAAGATCAGAAAAACCAATAGCATCCAGGCTCATGAGGTTTCTGCTGGAAAGCGCTGCATTGGTTATTGGACTCCAGATGATTTGTGTTCTGGCTTGGCAGAAAATTTGTCTGCATTTTTCTCATGTCCACAGACTGCCTGAGATTGAGATTAAGGTTGGCAGACTAATTAATCTGGCAGAAGAAATTTCAAGGCAGTCAAATGTTGAGGCTGTGGCATGGCTATTGTTGGGGCTTTTAACTAGATCTATGTTGAGAATCACGAGCAAATAGGTCAGCAAAATGATTTAAATTGCTGTGAATTTGGCCAGGAAAAAAGCTCCAAGCAAAACTGTGGACTGCAAAGATAGAGCTAAGAAGATCTCATTTGCTGAGAAGGAACAAGAGAATATAAAAGATGGCCTGAAGGCATCACGAAAAGCAGCAAGTCTCTACCCTTTGCAGCTTCAAAGTTGCTTTGAGAAGAAAGCTGCAGAGCACTATGTTCCAGAATGGTGGCAGACACATTGTGTTCCAGAAGGGTGGTGGCAGACACACCAGGTTCCAGAATTTTGGTGGCATAGAGAACTGTTCCTCAGAATCAGGCTCAAATTGCTCAGTGATCCAGGCACTTGACCCCTACAGCCAAGAGAGAAGAAAGTTTGATTACTGTTTCAGATGGCAGCAGACTTTGGATCGTTCATGTGGCACTAGTTTTGGACCATGCACAATGCAAGAGGTCTGAGGTAAAAAGGCTGCCACCCAGATTTCAGAAGGCCTGGAGCCTAAGCAGTGCGCCCCTGAGGGAGCAATGTGTGAAGCTGTGAGGATGAAGCCAAAGGTGCAGCGGACACATCAGAAGTTTGGAGAAGGCAGGAACATGGACCATTTGAGGAAATCTGCAAAGTGGGAGCAAAATGGGCCTAACAAGCCACGGGAGCTACAACCACAAGAAGTGCCACAGGGGCAGAGCCACGCAAGCCCTCTGGAGCTCACAATTTGCCACAGATTTCTTCAGCTGTTCCACGTGGAACTATAGGACTTAATGCTTGCCCTGCTGGATTTTAGACTTGCTTTAGTCCCATTCTTTTGTATTTCCATTTGTACCTTTTGGAATGGTAATGTTTATCTTGAGCCATTGAATGTTGGAAGGGTGTAACTTTTCATTTGTATACAGGGGCTCACAGTTAAGAATTTGTCTTAGATCTTAGGAGACACTAGGGACTTGGACTTTTCAGCAGTCTAACTTTGGCAACTCTTGGAGATGGACTAAAAGTCTTCTGCATAAAGGATATGCATGAGTCTTTGGGGGCCCCGGGGTGGAATGTAATGGTTTGTGTTTGGATGTCACACCCAAAACCTCATGCAATCTTGAAGGTGGGCTTCTAGAGTTTGTGAATGACTCATGGTCCAATGCTGGGATTATGGGTGTGAGTGCTGCACCCAAGAGGGTGTGGCCTACATACAATGTAAAGGAAAGAAACAGTCTTTTCTCCATGCTCCTCCCTTTTTACTTTTGCTGTTTTCTGCAGTCAGGAACTGTGGCTCCTCTGCCATGAGCCACCCTGCTTTGGACCCAGCAGATTATGAACTGAAACCTCCACAAACTGAGAGCTAAGTAAACCTTTCATTCCTTAATTTTGGACATCGGGTATTTTGTCCCAGAAATGATAGAAAAGTATCCAAGGCAACCATGCTTGCCCAACTGATAATGAATGTTATAGACCCTGAAATAAGTATATCAAAATGAGATTCAGTGAGTTTTAGCTTAAAATTAATTAATGCATCAGGAATTAAGTCCTACTATGAAGACAATTTTCAGAAGTGACTGAAGAGAAATGACTTGGATACAAAATTGGGCTTTAAAAAAACTATTAGTTTTTAATACCTATCTTAAATCCATGGTAGGTACTTTATATACACTATTTCTACTTCTCTCTGCAAGGTAAATGTACTGTCTTCTTTTTACAAATGGGGAAACTGAGGCTTGCAGCAATTACAAGACTGGTGCAAAGTGATACTCACATAGCTGATAAAAGGGAAGCCACGTTTCAACCCAGGCATGCTTCCCACATGAAAGCTAGTCATAAAACAGTAAGTTCAAGCCTTACACAAATCAGATAGCTACAGTAGCATGGTTGATGTGTCTCTCTTCCTTATATCTACACTGTAAATACTTTTTAAAAGACTTTTTCATGCTGAAACCCCAGATCCTAATAAAGTGTTCATTTGCCCACCACAGCAGCACTATCTACTGTACTGTGGAACAGAACTCCTGACTGAGAGCACTCGTCTTTGAAACATCTAAAGAGATCTCAGAAAGGCAGAGTGTCAGCCTAGATATCCCTGCGAACTGCATCACAGTTATTATTCTGGATAACACAAGCTTTTTTGTTTTTTCTTTTGAGACGGGATCTCACTATGCAGTTCAGGCTGGCTTTGAGCTCACTTTGTAGCCTAGGCTGGTCTCGAACACGCAACAATCCTCCCACCTCTGCCTCCTGAGGGCTGGGATTACAGGCGTGAGCCACCAGACCCGGCTTGATAACACAAGCTTTAAGTAAATTAGATCAGCATTCTAGTTGTGGCTCCACCAACTACTGTCTATATAATCTTAGACAAGCTACTTAACATCTCAGCTTTTACTTCTTTAGAAAATGAATTTAAGCTGTTCACCATGGACTAGGCAGGGACTTGCTATCATGGATAAACAACATGGGTTTACAGAGTGGACTTGGAATTGCTGTGACCCGAGGGTTTACACACTGCAACAATCACATGTACAAGTGTACAAGTCCACACCCCACAGGTGAAGAGATGGGGTATGTGGGTGGTAATTAGGTCATGGAATAAGGCACGCAGAAGTGGGAGAAATGCCCTAATAAAATGAGGTGCAAGAGAGACCCACCACCCCCTCCTGCTGCATGAGGCCAAGGAAGAAAGCTGACTGTGACAAAGCTTGTCCTCAGCAGATACCGGATCTTCCTGCACCTTGATCTTGGAGTTCCTAGCCTTTATAACTATGACAAATAAATGTTTAAAAGTCATTGTGCCAGAAAGAGAACCAGTCGATGTCTCCCGAGATCTAGCCATGTTGGAACTTAGGGCACTGAGCAGGAAAGCAACCCACCCCTCTTCCTGGTAAGCAGCGGCAGCGGGCAAACAAGGAAGAGAATCAGTCAGTGTCTCCCATGAGCCTGACGGGGCTCAGGCTGAGAATAAACATCCCATCTCCCCACCACCACCTCCCTCAGCAACTGAGGGCCAGAGGTCTAAGCATCTGCTAGGAGGATGACCATATGCAGTATAGCAAATATAGGGGATTTTGTTCTGTCTTCTCTTTGAAGACCAGCATTGTTTTCACGTTTTGCTTTGTTCTGATTAACTGTTTTGCTCTATTCAATATTGTTTTGATAGGTTTTATAATGTTCTGTTTTTGGTTTGATTTTTGCTATGCCTGATTGAATGGTCAGCTATTGTGAAGATAATGAGATACAGTATGGTACCTATTACTGTTATCCTGGTATCCTGCTGTGAAGTTCTGTACCAATTTCACTGCATTGTCTCGATTGGTTTTGTTTTGTCTTGTTATATTGCATTTTACTACCTTCAAAATAAATTTTTTTAAAAAGTCATTTGGTCTGCCGTGTCTTCTTATAGCAGCTTGAGGCACTTAAGTGGACCATTTTGTTAGCTAGTTATGGAAAAAGTCAAAATGGTGATACTGATGGGCTCAGTGGTTGAGCTCTTGCTTCGCATATACAAGGCTGTGGGTTCAATTCCCAGCACCACAAATAAATAAAATGGAGATATTTTCTGGCTTTTTACACATGTATGTGAAGACAATAAGATAGCTAGGAAATGACAATGACCTAAATTATATTACTGTATGAAAATGAAACATACTAAGTCAACAGACAAGAGTAGAGCAGTTGAGCCGGGCATGGTGGCTCACGCCTGTAATCCCAGAACTCGGGAGGCTGAGGTGGGAAGATCGTTGGGAGTTCAAGATCAGCCTGGGCTACAAAGTGAGCTCAAGGCCAGCCTGAACTGCATAGCGAGACCCCGTCTCAAAAGACAAAAAAAAAAAAAGAGTAGAGTAGCTAATGACAATAGTAACTGACAGTTCATGAGCCCCTAGCATGCTGAATATGTGATATAAGCACCTCATTTAATTAGTAATGTTTACCTGTCATTTCCTGTGTACTAGCCACTGTTTGAAGCACTTTAAATGTATGAACACATTTGAGCCTTTATAAAAACCCTATGAGGTAAGCTGTGTTATTATTTAACTTTACAGCTAACATAGGCTCAAAGAGATTAATACACCCCAATCACACAGTGCATAAGTTGCAAAAGTGTAAGTCAAACCTAGGCTCCCCTTCCAATCAGTAGAGTTCAAAGTCTTCTTGTGCTGTTATTCTGCTCAGATGCCTGATGGCAACAGGCAATACATGGTGGCATTTTAATTGTATCTCCCTTTGTCACTTCACTGGACTGTTATCTAATTATGGAATTTAAAACAAAGTTCTCACCTCTCACCCCATAGTATCTGTTGGTGCTAAGAATGTGAGAGAACACAGATGGCATTGTTTTGTGTTCGCCTTTTAGGGAGTACCAGCATTGTGGGCTGCCTGAATGGGGCTGAGAAAACGTAAATGGAAGTAAAATCATCTTTACGAGTACATGGAATCCAAAGATATTCTTTCTAATAATATGCAGGTATTAGGAACAGCATAAAACAAAGTTTTGCAATTACATTCCCCCCTCAAGCACACACACATTTTTTTTTAATTTGTAGAGGTCAAATTGTTTAATCATGATGCCAACATCTACATAAGACCATTTTTTGTTACAAGGAAAGAGAATTGCAATTTAGTTTCAGGGAAGTGCACATTGGTCAAGGAAACAGAACTCAGGGTATCTGTGGCTATAAAGCTAGTTGGCCTGCGCTTTACAAGGACCAGAAGGCCGGAGGACTTGAAGAGCTTCCATCCTCTTCCTTTCTTTCTCAGCCTACACAGGTTCTCTTCTCTCTTTATCTTTGCCTGTTTGCTTGATCCTCCTCTTTCTGCAAACCCATTCACTCAACCTCCTCGTTGCAGGTAGAAAGAGGACACTTGGCTTGCCTCACTGCCTAGTGTCCACAGATCACCACCAAATCTCTGCTTATCTATGGGCACCTTATAGGGTTTTGGGGGCGATAAAAGAGAGAAGATAAAGTAAAATGGCTTTTATTCTAAGGACATGGAAAGAACTCCATGACCGCCAGCGCCTGGCTTTCTCTACTGGAAACGTGGGGTGTGACATATACATATAATTTCTCACTGAGGTGGCGCTTAGGGTGAGCATTGTTGATGCTCGAGCAGCCAATTGGATTTTTCATCATGTGCAAACAGGAGCTGGAGAAGAAGTGGGAAGTGGTAGGCGTCCCACTTTGGTCTTCTGCCTCATTAGACCACCGTCATAATTTCTACTGAGGCAAGTACCTTTCATTCCCATCTTTGTATTGTTAGGAAAAGGGCAAAGTCTCTTTTTTACTATTTTCTGCTGAAAGGGGGTGCTGTATTGGGTTGTAGAAAGGTTGATGGGATGATGGTTGATGCCCGTGCAGAAGCTGGTGCCAGATGTTTCAGCCAGAACAACTTCATCATTGGTGAATGCCTGCACATTAGACTAGAAAACAAAGACACAAGGTGTTATGAGGAGGCAGGCCACTATCATATTTAAAGATCCAGGTGAGGCAGAAGGAAAGGTGCCTTTGATTTAGATACATCATTTTATCAGGACCACAGTGCGGTAGAGTCATTGCCACGGTAAGGTAGCATTCTGAAAAATAAGTGTGAGGTTAGAAGGAGTGATTATGAGAGGTGATTATTCCCCCAACTGAAAGGGTGAAAGTTAAGAGTGTATGTAGGTAGAACTTGTCTCTGGTCCAGAAGTTGAGCTGGAATGTAAAGGGGGATAGGGAGGGCCATGGCTGTGTCACTGTCAGGGTGATAAGAGCGTAGGCCCACAGGGATCGCACGTTTGACTAAATAGCTGAGGGTAGAGAGAACTAAGACAGTTAGAACAATGTGAAGACAATCTATGCATAACGTGGGTGTCTTTAGGAAAGACTGTTAAGAGTCTTGCTGTAAAAAAGATACTTAAAAGAACATAAGGAATTAGGAACCAAATTGGATAACAAAACATGACTTAGCCTGAGAGTTGTGGCTATGAGGCCTTGGTGAGACGGAGACGGGTGGGTGACAGAAGATGAGATGACCAATCAGGATGGTTAGATTCAGGGTTGGAGGGCACTGCTTAGCCTGAGTGATGTGAAACCAGGAGGAGAGTCAAGCAACTTTGAATGCTGTAGGGGTTGTCAAGAAGACCAGGTAGGGACCTCTCCACCTTGGTTGTAGTCCTGTGGGTTTGGAGCATTTGAGATAAATTAGATCTCCTGGGGAAATGGGAGGATCTGGTTTGGTCCCTTTGGAGTGTTGGGGAAGGCAGAGATCAGCATGTTGTTGTAACAGGTATCAGAGGAAGGTTAGGATTGGGATATAGTCAGCAAGAGGAAGGAGACTTTGGGGAGTAGGAAGATTGTGGAGTAAGAATTGTCTGCTATACATAAGTTTAAAAGGACTTAAAAATGTAGGAGCCCAGGGAAGTGCCCTGAGCTTGGCTACGGCTAGGGGCAGAAGTTGAGGCCAAGGTTGATGTAGTTCTAAAATGAGCTTCGTAAGGTGAGTTTTTGTGAGGCCATTTGCCTTTTCTACTTTTCTGAGTATTGTGGATGGTATGGAATGTGTAGGTGCCAGGCGATGTGTAAGCTTGAGGGTACCTGTTGAGTGGCCTGAGAAATAAAGGCGGGACCATTATCTGACTTAATACCTTGAGGTAGACCAAACCTTGGGATGATTTCCTGTAACAGGACTTTAGTAACTACATCAGCAGTCTCCCTCATTGTGGGAAAAGCTTCTATCCATCCTGAGAAAGTACAAACAGGTGAGAAGATATTTGAGAGTTTTGTGGTGGGGCATGTGTGTAAAATCTATCTGCCAGTCCTGACCAGGGGTGTGTCCTTAAAATTGATGAGTAGGAAAGGAAGGGGGTGCTATATGTCCCTAAGGAAAGGTCCTAGCACAGAGATGACAAGTGTGAGTAATCTGAAGAATGATAGCCTTTAGAAAAGGGTGTGTGACTACTGGAGCTAAGAGTCTGTATAGGCCCTGTGATCCTATATGGAATCAGTTATATAAGTCAGTGATGCTGTCTAAGGCCTGCTGATCTGGGAGAACAAGTTTTGACCCCTGGAAAATCCATCCCTGAGTGTTTTGTGTGTGATCTGGTTTATGAAGTAACTGTAGCTGCTCTGATGAATCATTAGGTTGAGGTAGACTGTTGGGGACTAACATAGAAGATGAGAAGGATAGGGCCTTTGTGTAGCTAACTTGGCTTGTGAATCTGCAAAGGCATTGCCTTGAGCAACGGGATCTGCAGAATTCTGGTGTCCCCTACAATGAATAACTGATGCCTGCTTTGGGAGTAGTGCTGCCTCTAGAAGTTTAGGGGGAGGGTGCATTAATGATGGGGGTTCCCTGAGAGTTGATAAAACCCCTTTCCTGCCAGATAGAGGCATGAGAGTGTAAAATGCTAAATGTATACTTTGAATCAGTGTATATATTTATGACTTTGTCCTTTGCTAGTGTAAGAGCCCTTGTAAGGGCAATAAGTCCTGCCCTCTGGGAAGGTGTCCCAGGTGGCAGTGGATTAGCCTCTATGACCTTTGAATGGTTAGTTATTGCATATCCTGCCTTTTTTTTGCTATCTGCATTTGTTGAACTGCCATCTATGAACCATGTGTCAAAGGCTAAAGAGAAAAGTGTGCTACTAATGTGACGGAAAGGGGTGGGTGTCATCTGTAAGACCTCAATACAGTCATGGTGAGGATGGCCCTCTGTGGTAGGAAGTAAAGTTGCTACATTAAGAGGACCACTAGTTGCAATAGAAATACAAGGGTCCTGAGAGAGGGCTAGGCAAGAAGAAGTCATCAGGGCAAGGAGTGCCTTATGTGGTGAGATAAGCTCACTTAGATGGTGAGGTGAGTGTATTGTAATAGACTGCCCTAATGTAAACTTCTTAGCTTCCTGTGTCAGTAGGGCTGCAGCTACAAGAGCTTGGAGACAAAGAGCCCATCCTTTTACTGTGTTGTCTAACTGTTTTGACAAGTAAGCTACTGCTTGAAAAGGTCCCTTCTTGTGTCCCTGTACACCTACAGCATTGTGGCCCTGAGAGGTAGTATGTAGAGTGAAAGGTTGGGTCGGGTCAGGAAGGGTAAGGGCTGGAGCCCGTAGGAGAGCCTCTTTCAATTTATGAAAGGAGCCATTTATGGGCATAATGGGGTCTAGAGGTTCTAATAAGGAATCCTTAGAAGCTTTGCAGAGGGTTTAGCTAGAGCTGCAAAGTTAGGAATCCAGAGATGAAAGAAAGAAATTAGCTTAACCTAGGAAAGAAGTAACTTGTTGTTTAGTTGTGGGCATCTGGAGATCTTGAAGAATAGCCTTATGATCTATAGTGATGAAACGAGTGGTGGTGGTGAGACAGAGACCTAGATATTTGACTTTTGAGGAAGCTATTTGGGCTTTAGCAGGAGAGACCCTGTACCCACAGCTGGCAAGAAAATTAAGGAGACTAGCTGAATGCTGCATGGCTAACATATGGGATGGAGAATATAAGAGGTCATCTATGTATTGAAGGAGAACGCTAGGTTTGAGATCAAGTTCTGTAAGGTCAGCAGCAAGAGCTTGACTAAAGAAGGAGGACTATCCCTGAACCCTTGGGGGAGCACTGTCCAAGTAAGTTGTTGAGACCTGAGAGTGTCTGGATCACTCCATGTAAACACAAAGAGATCCTGACAATCAGGGTGCAGGGGGGATGGTTTAAAAAGGCATCTTTTAAGATCTACAACTGTAAAGTGAGTGGTGGAGGGAGGGATATGAGAGAGCATGGTATAAGGGTTTGACATCACTGGGTGGATTGGGGTAACAACACTATTGATTACCCTCAGGTTCTGCACTATGCAATAAGACCCATCAGGCTTAAGTACCAGGAGAATGGGAGTTTTGTAGGGTGAATGGGTAGGTTTAAGAAAACCATGTCTAAAAGGCACTTAATTATAGGTTTAAGTCCCTGTAAATATTTGGGAGCTATGGGATATTGGGAAACACAAGGAAAATTTGAAGGATCCCTGAGACAAATTAAAATAGGCATGTCATGGGTAGTGTGGGTGGGATTGGAAGTATCCCAAACTATGGGATTGACCAGAAAAGAAGGAAGGGGAGGGGATGACTTTGTGTTGCACTTTGAGGGTATTTGGAGGACTAGAGCCATGGGGAGGGAGAAGATAAAGGAAAAATTAAGCTTTTGAAGGAGATTTCTACCTAAAAGGGGTGTGGGACATGTTGGAATTACTAGGAAGCTATGGGTAAAGAAGAGAGTCTGGAACCTGCATAGTATAGGCCCGGTCTGCAAAGGCTGCATAGGCTGTCCATCAACACCCACTACAGAGATTGAGGACTTAATACAAGGGCCTGAAAACTCAGGAAGTACACTATAAGTCACCCCTGTGTCTACAAGTACAGATAGTGTCTTATCTGAGATCTCCAGTGAGAATTGGGGCTCTGAGAAGGATAACATAATGGGGGCTGTGGGCCCCAAACCCTGTAAATCCTCAGCAGCAAGTCCGAATAGATCAGTCAGCAATGAATCTGGCAGTGATGGAGTCTCCTGTGAGGGCAAGGAGTTAGAGGATGGCTTACCTGCTCTCTGGTGGCTAGGACAGTCACTCTTCCAGTGGCCCTTGAGATTGCAATAGGGGCAAGGCCTCAAAGGAACAGCAGAATTGGGGCACTCTCTTGCCCAGTGTCCTTCTTTATTGCACTTGAAGCATGGTCTAGGAAGGACTCAGGCAGCTCTGCTTTGTTTTGGCTTTGCTGTCTTGAAAGCCCCAAATGCCACTGCTAAGAGATCAGATTGATATTTAGCATATTTATTATTTTTATGTCTCTTTTTCCTCTTTTTGAGTTTTTTCTCTGTTGTTGAAAACACAGAAAGCTAAATTAAGAAGATCTCCTTGTGGGGTTTGAGGGCCATGTTCATCCTTTTGTAACTTTGCACGAATATCAGAAGCAGACAGAAATAAAATAAGAATTAACAACAATCATCCATTCGTGAGAGTCTGGGTTTATATTAGTAAACTTAATTAAGGTGTCCCTAAGCTGATTCAGGAACACAGCCAGATTTTCATTAGCCTCCTGGACCTGTTCTAAAAGTTTGTTATAGTTAGTATGTTTGTGAGCAATTTTATTAAGGCCTACAATTAGACATTGAATCATCTTAAGTATTTTATAAGAACCTTCTCCATTTTAGTAATTCCAGTTAGAATCCTGTTCAGGCACTGCAGTAGGCCCTGGGTCATTTTTATCAGTATTTGCCTTATGTCTGTGATCAGCTTCTTCTCGAGCTACCTGCCACAGCTGAGGTTGCTCTTGTGAGCTGAGGGTGGAGTTCAGAATCACATAAATATCCTTAAAATGTAAATCATATCAATTAGTTATAAACTCATATTCTCTGATATAATTCTGTGGGTCAACAGAGAAACAACCTATTTATGGCTAATCTGAGATAAATCAGAAAGGGAGAAAGGTATGTGTATACTAACAAGACCCTTGGGGCCAGCCTGTTCCCTAAGTGGGAGCAGAGATTGAGGCAGAGAAGACTGGGGAGAAGATGACCATTGAGCGGCCAACTGTCCAGCAGACATGTAGGGGCAATTACCTGATGATTGGCTACGAAGTGGCCACTCGTCACCATGTGACAAGGCAACACAGACTGATGGAGGATCTCTGTGTGACCTGCAGCAGCCTAGCTGCTGCCAGCAACACAATGAGAGAGCACAAGATGGCAGCTGGTCATCATGTGACCCACAGCAGGGTGCCCGCTGCTGATCACATGAGGAGCTACAAGGGGGCGGCCATTGACCCTGAGACCCATCCCAAGATGGCAGCACCCTGTCACGTGGTGGAGGGTTCCAAGATGGCGGCTGTCCTCCATGCTAGCTGCAGCAACCTGGCTGCTGGCACCAGGAGGCCTGCCAAAAGGCTGGAACACCCAAGACCAAGTATGGTGAGCCAGTGGAAAAATATGTCAATTCAGGGAAAGGAGACAAAGAACCCTCAGATGGGACAGACGGCTTGGGTAGGGGGGATTGAGAAGTTGAAGACTGGGGAGAGACACTAGGGGAAGGGTTAGAGACCATTGTGGGTGAAGGAGGAGGAGAGGACAGTGCAGGGGTATAGAAACCTTTGGCTGAGAAGGCTGCGGGGTTTGGTCTTGGGGATAGGGAGGAAGGGGAGTAAAGATGGGGAGCACATCATCTAAGGGGTCTTGAGGGGAGGAGGGGAGAGTTTCTGGTACAGTAGAGTTAGCTAAAAAGATTTGAGCTGCGGTGCACGATTTAATGAGAGAAGAGCACGTCTTTAGGGTAAGGAAGGCCTGCATATAAGGAATTTCTGCTAATTTGTCACCAGTGTAACAAAAGTCATATAAATTTTTGAGAATACAGGGGTCAAATGTCTCCTCTTTAGGCCGTTAAGCTCATAGGTCGGCCAAGCCTCCTGGCAGTAAAAGATTGTTTAATTCTTATAGTTTTCTTTAGGCCAAGGGTATCAAGGTTACAAACCAGGAACCCCAGAGGTATGTTTTTTTGGGGAAGAGGAAAAAGTATTTCCCATGACCAAAAGGTGAGCCAAAAAGGACAATTTTGTTTTAATATATGAGAGCTCTGGCCCTCCTCCAAGGAATGTGAAAATTGTCCCAGATCATGCCTAACCAAAAAAAGATCATCACCTAATTTGGAAGCATGATTAAAAACGGCTCCAACCTGAACCCATTGGCCCTCACCAAAAGGCAAAGGTCGGGATCCCAGAGGACCACAGTAACGCCTCTGCCTCAGACTGTCCAAGGAACGTGAGAACTGCTACCTCAGTCCAGGGATGGAATGGGTAATCCGGCATGGCCCTGCCCATGGCAACAGAAAAACCCTGGACAGTAGTTGACTCACCTGAGGTAAATGTACTAGGCCAGTGTTGTTTGCAGGCTGGTGGCAGTAAGTTGAGCAACTCCCATGTGTTGAGAAATGAAGAATTAATCCAAAATACGTTCTGGTCCGTGAATTAGCAGGGGACTCAAACTGGGAGACCCAAGGAGTCACTCACACTGCCTTCCAGGTCAGGGAACCAAATGATAGGGTTTTTGGGGTGATAAAAGAGAGAATATAAACTAAAATAGCCTTTATTCTGAGGACGTGGAGAGAACTCCATAACCACCAGGGCCTGGCTTTCTCTGCTAGGAACGTGGGACATGGAATATACATATAATTTCTGACTGGGGTGACACAGAGGGTGGGCATTGCTGACATATGAGCAGCCAATTGGATTTTTTTTTCACGTGCAAACAGGAGCTGGGGAAGAAGTACCTCGTTAGACCACTGCCATGATTTCTACTGAGGCAAGAACCTTTCAGCACCATTTCTTTAGAAGAAAGAGCCTGAGAGCTCATCAGGTAGCCAGCATGTCAGCTTTGATTTGCATGTCATCCTGTGCCAATTTTGTGTAGCCAGAGTAAGGTCACGGAGCAATACTGACCTTTTCAGATCCTGAGTGGAGAGAGGCAACTGCACGGGTTTTCCATAACCTCCGCTGCACGGCTCAGCTCTTCCTCCTGATGAGCTTCCATCTCGTTCCGTTCCTTGTGCTGCAGCCAATTAAGCTTCAAAAACACCCCTTTCTGAAACCCTTTTAATGGGTTTTCATTGCTCAGTAGGGCAAAAATAGACTCTGACAGAGTCTTGCTAGCCCTCAACACCCACGCTAGCTTTACTTCCCTGTATTGTGTTCCACTTCTAATCATAGTTGGTTTCTTTCAAATCCTCAAAGATTCCTACTCTTCGGGCCTCAGATGCCTAGCTCGTGTGTTTTTCCTCTGCCTATAAAGCTTTCTCACCCAAATAATTCTTCCCTGTCTGAATTAGATATGTTTCTACATTTAAAAAAATCACATCCAAACCTAAGAAGCTTTTAAAGCAACAAAAGTCACTGTCTCACCCCTTCCATTGGTCAAGAATGCTGGCACGTCCTAAGTGTCCCTAACTCAAGTCTCTCAGCACTCAGGCTGTTGGTGGAGTAGAAGAGGAACCTAATGTTGAAAAATTTGCTTGTGAGTTCACTCACCTGGTTGTGGATGAGTGTCAGTTCCTTACAGGTTAGTAGATATTCAACCCACATGAACATCTTTGGGAAATGATTTCTGGGAGATGATAACGGCAGTATCCTTGTCTCAGTACAAGCAATGTAGGAAAGAGAGGAAACCAGAGATATGCCTATAGTCCCACTCTGGGAGGCTGAGGCAGGAGAATTTCGAGTTCAAACCTAGACTGGGAAATTTAGCCACTTAGCAAGACTTTGTCTCAAATTTTAAAAAAGGTTGTTGGTGTAGCTCGGTGTGAAGACCCCAAGTTCAATCCTTAGGGGAGAGAGAGAAAGCCAGCCCAAGGTAATGTCCATCACTTCTACCTACATTCTACTGATTAGAAGCAAGTGGGTAAGTCTACACTACAAGGGAAGGCATTAATACAAGGGCTAATATCAGGGGGGCGCAAACACTGGGGTCCCTCTTACTTAACACACTGCCTTTAACATCTTAACGTACATGTTAGTTCCTTGAGTACATTTTTCAGAGAGAAGAATCTGACCTCCTGACATAGGCATGTAGGTAAGTCTCCGTTATATTCTTGTCCTTTTCCCCCTAGATGTCTTTGTAACATCTCAACAACTTGTTACTACTATTATGTTATAACACTAAAAATTATGTTCATGGTATGTTTCATATCTTATTTTTTTCCTGACAATTTACTGGGTTATTTTTAGTGCTCAAGTATTATGTAGTAATCAATTATAGACATCATAATATTCTTCTCCTGTATATTTCTTTTTTTTAATTTTTTTAAATTTTATTTTGAAAGTATACAACAGAACAAGTCAGAAAAAAGCCAACTAAGATCGTACAGTAAAATTGGTACAGAACTTCACAGCAGGTTACCGGGATAACAGTAATAAGTATCACAGTATATTTTGTTATCTTTATAATAGTTGTTCTTTCAATCACGTATATCAAAATGAGATAAAATATAAAACACTATAGAACTTATCAAAACAGAATATTGAATAGAGCAGTACCATTAATCAGAAAAGAGCAAAACAGTAATAAAAATATTTGCCTTCAAAGAAATGGTAGAAGGAAGTCCCCCTTATTTGCTATGGTCAACCTCCCAGGAGGTGCTCAGATTTCTGGTTCCCATTTGCTAATGGGCGGGGTGGGGGGAGGAGGAGGAGGATAGGGGAAGTGGGATATTTGACTCTAGGCCATGTAGCAGTAGGTTCACTATTGCTAAGCAGGGAGGCAGAATGGTCATTTGTTTTCACAGCGTCCTCAGTTCCAACATGGCGTGGATCTCAGGAGACACTGTTGGTTCTCCCCCTGGAAGGGCTGCAGTCTGCCACCCTGCCTCCGCGTACCAGGGAGGGGAGGTGCTGGCTTGGCTTCCCAGAGTCCTAAGTTCCAACATGGTGTGGATCTCATTTCGTGTATATTTCAGTATCATATCTGTTTCTACATAGCAAAAAATATTTTCATACCTAATAAGTGCCAAATCCATATTCCTCCACTCTCCTCAAGATATCCTTTGCAGCTGGCTTGGCCAGATCAGGGTCCAATTCTGAACCACGCAGTGGCTGTGGTTGTTATGCCTCTTAAGGTACTTTTAACCTAGAATGGGTATCATGACACTGACTTGCTGAAGATCAGGTCAGTTTTACCTTCTGGATCTGTTTGATTGCTTCCTCTAACCTTTGTGTTTCTTGTAAGCAGATAGTTAGATCGGAGATTTGAGCACATTTAAATTAAACATTTTTATCTAGAGAATTTCATAAATAGTGCTGTGCATTTCTATTGTATCACATTAGGAGACTCATGAGTATCTGCCTGCCCCTCCTCAAAGATACTAAGATTCACATGGGAGAAAAGTGATCACAGCTCAATCCTTTCAGAATATTTCATGCATATTACTTTGGCTTCATACAAATGCCCAGTTACCCATCAATAGAATGAGCTTATAATTTATCTTTCAAACCATCACACGGAGACTAAATAAGGCACTAGTAATGATTATACTTGGACAACAGTCATAGAACTAGGACCAATGCAGGCAAAATGGAATAGTCAACCTATCCATCAGCCATTAACATGATGATTTAATGATTTTATCCTTCCCTGAATCAATACTTTCCTTAGGGGTAGCAAACTAATGACTTTCTATTTTTATGTTACCTTCTACATTTACTAGCTGACAGTCTTCTGTAAATTACAGGTTTTTGTCAACAGAAGCCAGTTACCTTAAAATATAATTTACATTTAAAAAGTAGATAGGTGTTTAATTCTATCCCTTTAGTAATTTTCAAAAAGATGGTTTGACAACCATCTCGACAAGAAACAAATGAATTTTTCCAATTCACTTCCTTAAGTATTAGGAAATTACGAATTTCCTATAGAGTCAATGGCTTTCAGTCAACTATAATCATGTTACTTAAATTTCCATACATTATCTATTTACTCTTTAAATAATCATTTAGGTAAGGTATCACTACCATCTCCTTTTGACATATAAAGAAATTGAAACAAGGAGAAATTAAGTAAGAGCTTAAAACTAAGGTCACTCAGACAATGGCTTCAATCTCCATTTAAAAGTAGACCTCAAGACTGAATAGAATGCATTCATGTTTTTGATTAACAATTGTCCCTGACTGTAGCATAGTGGCAGTCAGTAAAGAACTCAATAAGCAAGTTATTGAACTGATTATCATTTCTAATTGACACTAAAAATATTCCAGAAACCTACTTAATTTCTGTGGATACAATAGCATAAAATCTGTATTATGATGGAAGCAGGAAGGACAAGAAGAATGTGAGGGAGGAGGAGGAGACAGGAAGGGGGAAAGGCACAGTTTCATTTGCTTGATAATTCTGGAAACTGGGTAATATGTAGATCAAAGTTTATGGTACTGATCTCTGTACTACATATTTGAAATTTTTTATTCTTAAGGAAAATATTATAAGGCTGAAGGTATAGGTCAGTGTTAGTGCAGCATACACAAAACCTTAGGTTTGATTTCCAGCATCAGAATAAGTGAAGAAAATATTCTAGACCCTTGAACCATTAAAAAGCAACACACTGCTTACAAGTGTTTAAATGGTTGCGCAGCAAAATGCATCTGTTATGTTGTTAGTCTATATTCTGGTAGCAAATCAGAAGGTAAAGATTCATGACATCCACTATCCCAACACAAGCTAAATTACATACATAAAGAATAAGATTGTCCTTGTAAAGGAGGTAACACAAATCTTAGTATATGTGCCGTGAAAAGCAGCACGATAACACAGGTCTTATGTTTAACTTTTTGTTGGGAAATAGACAATGATAGATGTGATTCTTATAAAAGCCAAAATATGTAGGAAATCTAACAACCACAAAATGAAAAAGAAAAAAAAAAACACACCAGTATATTTGTCTTCTAGACAGTATCAACAAGAGAAGGAATTATCTAAGTTGATCAAGATAAAGAGCCAGATAATAAGATCCCAGGTCCCATAACATGCTGAGGTACAAGCAGAAATCCATTTAAAATATTATTTCTAATAAATGTAAAAGAAATGAGGAAAATAGAAATTCACCATTAGAATGCCCACAGCAATAAATGCCACAGGAAAAATCTACTAATGAATGTCAAAATTAGTTGATGAAAGTTTCAGGCAACACGCATTGTTTTGTAACTTCAGAATTTACACCCCAAGTTTATAAAATGCGATGGCAGTTTAACCTAAATCCACAAATTCTTTAGTATTTCTCTTTCCATAAAACAGAATTTAATTCCCTCTCCTTGGGTATGGGGTGCACTTAGTGACTCACTTCTAATCAACAAGGTTTACATTTACAATGGGGAAACCTGGCAGACTCCACCCGAGTGAAGTGGTCAGCACATGGGACGGGGGTGACGTGGTCAGCACATGGGACGGGGGTGACGTGATCAGCAGGGCACTTCACCTCCATGGCCTTCTTCCCCCAAGTCCGTAACTTCAATCTAAGCTAGAGGAAACAATAAATGAATCTAAATTGATCAAATCTACCTAATGCAATCTCTTCAAAGAAAAATACAAGGTCATGAAAGACAGATAAAGGTTGATAAACAGCCCAGGTTTAAGGCAATAAAGAGACGTGGTGACTACATGTAATGGGCCATACTGAATGGTATGCTGAAATCCTGTACTGAGGGTAGAAACCACAGCAGTACTCTGATGTATGTATGCCTCAGCTTGTGAGTCTGCAAAATAAGAGGCCTGGAAAAGAAGCTCATCCAGTGTAAGGGCAAGCAGCACACAGTTACGTCCGTCCCCCCAAAGTCTCAGCTATGTGGATGCCTGGAGAGCTCCCAAGGCACCTCTGACCTTGAGAAACACACATGGTTAGGGATTGCACCCCCGGCTTTGCCATCTCCCAAACAGATTTTGTTGGCAAAATGAGGCTGGAACCAAAATCAGTAACATTTACATTAAGCTGAATACAAAAAGACTCATCTTTTAAAACCAGAATGCCAATTTATTAATTTACAAAGAGAATTAAACCTGTCAGGTGGACCCAATGTGCCTGTCCTCACTACAGACAACCTTACCCAGATGCTTAGAAAACAGGTCAACAAGACTGGAGGGGGACAAGGACAGAGATGCTTGATTTGAATTTTTAATGGCTTTGGGTCACAATACCCTGATAAATTACTATTCGACAGATATAACCTCTACATGGCCCAAAGAGAAAGATACCTTCCACCTGTGCCTGCCTTTGGCTTGG